GTTAAATTTTTTATGTTTTTGTTTTTTTGGTGATAACCGAAAAATACTATTATTTGTTTTTTTCATGATATGAATTTTAGATAGTCGGGATGTCGACTCGAACTAATGGTTTCATATTATATTTTCTAAATGTATAATAGTTAAAAATAAAAATAAAATTTATTAAGACAAATCATTTCACTATAATTTGGTCGATACTAAAAGAAGCATTAAGAAAAATAATATTTTAACTTAAAAAAATTAGATACTTCAGTTATGGTGGAGATTCAGTTATAAGGTGCTCACATAAAGGTGCACATGTATATGTATGTAAAAATATATAAAAATAGTTGATAAATATATAAATATTGTTAATTAATATTAAATAATATTTTTGTTCAAAATACCAAATGAAAGATAAAAAAATTAAAATAAAATTAATTAAATATAAAATAAACCTAGAAATTAGTGGATTTTTTCATACAAATAAAATAAAATTTTATCCATAAATATGGGTGGCCAAGGATCCAATATCCGAGTATTTGGAGGCATTAGTGTCAATTCAATCTTTAGCCAAATGGATATTTTGTGATTCGGAAATCCAATTTTTTAATAATTTTAAAGAATATCCGAGTTGATCCATAAATAAAATATTTTTTTTAAAAAAAAATAATAATAATATTTTATTACAAAAATAAACATTATTTTTTTAATTCTAATACCTACTATAATAAATTTAATACTTAAAAATATTGTATAACTTAGATAAACTATAATATATATAACATATATATATGTATATAATTCTTTACATATATGTATATATATATGCATATAAAGGAACAAATTGGATATCCGTTCATAAAAATATTAGTATTTTTTATTTGCTTCATTTTTCGGATATTGTATTTTAGTATTTGATTTGCTTCGTAGAGTTACAAATATCCAATTTTTTTGGTTCAAATCAAAATGGATAATGAATTGATCTAAATTTATGAATATTTTTCCAAGATTTATCCATATACAATAAAAATAATATATATATATATATATATATATATATATATATATATATATATATATAATTTAGTTTTCGATTCGTAATCTGTTTTGATGTGAACCGAAAAACTCAGAGTTTTAACGGACTATGTATATGAATTTTAAATTGAAAAAAAAAAATATATATATATATATATATATATATATATATATATAGTGCAAACACATTATAAATATAGTGTGAACGCATTATCATATTTATTCAAATCTTTGTGAGACTGCCACATGTACATTATAGTGTGAATACAATTTTTAGAATGATTCTCTTTTAATATATAAGGGATATAGAGAGGGTATAATAGTCAGTGACAAAATATATACAAAACTACAAAACAATAAGTGTTGGGGCTTTAGGGCATAATTTTGTTAACACATTGAGTTAACACACTGAGTTGAGAGTGATTTACACCATAGATCAGTTTTTGACTTCTTATTACATAATAGAGCACTTTGTGCTACTTGGGTAGTTATAAGTGGTTAAAAACTCTGTTATCCCTGAAAAAGTGTAATCATGAATCATTTTTCTGTCACCCTTGTATATTTAGTTAGCCTTTCTTCGTTTTTACCATTAACTAAACGTAACCACAAGAGCTGTTAGTTCCTTTTATTATTATTTTTAATTTCTTATAATTTTAAACAAAGAAAAAAACAATAAATTTTTCTTTATTTGTGTTTTTGATTTTTTTAGGTTAGTTTTCTCATCTATTTGATTTCATTTTTTTCTCCAGTGAAGATTTATTATCAATATGATCATAGCATATATTATTGTCCCTGAAAACAAAAAGACTGAAACATCACATCTCCGCCACGGTCTTTTTCGACCTAAAATCAGGACTGGATCCGTTTTGTGTAAAATAAGTGGAGCTCTGCACCAGAGTTGTGGCTGCTTGATCCACCACCGCCATGCCTCGTCTCGAGGCTCCTCTCCACGCCATCATTCGTTTGATATTTTAAGGCGCCGCCGGAGTTCCGTCACGTTTACAAATCATGAGTTCCGTCACGTTTACAAATCATGAGAGTTTTGTTCAAATTTTGCATATTTGCATCTTAGATCCTTGTTTTTTTACTTCTTCGCAATTAGTCACTACATTTTATAAATGTGATATTTCTTCTAAAATTCGATCCTCTTCTAAAATTCGATCCAAATTTTTAGATTGTGAATTATGTTATGCAAATATATATAAAAAGCCAATATAAATATTTAAAACATAGTAAATGACTTAAATATACCAATTTGTAATTTAATATATGCACAAAATACATCTAAATGCATCTTAAAAAAATAAAGGAACTAAAATCATTAGATATGAATAATACACATAATCAGTCATATATTGCCATGTACACTATTTTTAGTTTGACTTCATCTATTTTGGCACTTTGAATAAGCAACTTTCAATTCATCTATGTGTACAACGACACCACATATTTTTATTCACCTTCGATGTACACGTGTACATGACTAGAGTATACAAAATCAAATTGTACACAGAACAATAATCTTTCTACAAGGAAACATGCTCTCATATTAAAATTATTAAATATGAATAACACACATAACCATACATATATTTTCATGTACTTTATATTTAGTTTGACTTGTTCTATTTTGGCATTTTGAATAAACAACATCCAATCCATCTATGTGTACAACAACACCACATATTTTTATTCACCTTCGATGTACACGTGTACACGACTAGGGGTGTACAAACTCAAACTGTACACAATACAATAATCTTTCTACAAGGAAACAAGCTCCCATATTAAAATTATTAACACACATAACCATACATATATTTTCATGTACACTATATTTAGTTTGACTTGTTCTATTTTGACATTTTAAATAAGTAAAATCCAATTCATTTATGTGTACAACGACATCAAATATTTTTTATTCACCTTCGATGTACACGTGTACACTACTAGGGGTGTACAAAATGAAATTATACACAGAACAATATTCTTTCTACAAGGAAACATGCTCCCGTATTAAAATTATTAGATATAAATAACACACATAGCCATACATATATTTTCATGTACACTATATTTAGTTTGACTTGTTCTATTTTGACATTTTGAATAAGTAACATTCAATTCATCTATGTGTACAACGACACTACATAATTTTATTCACCTTCGATGTACACGTGTACACGACTAGTGGTGTACAAAAATAAATTGTACACATAACAATAATCTTTCTATAAGGAAACAGGCTCCCATATAAAAATTATTAGATATGAATAACACACATAACCATACATATATTTTCATGTACACTATATTTAGCTTGACTTGTTCTATTTTGACATTATGAATAAGCAACATCCAATTCATCTATGTGTACAACGACACCACATATTTTTATTCACCTTCGATGTACACATGTACACAACTAGGGGTGTACAAAATCAAACTCTACACAGAACAATAATCTTTCTACAAGAAAATAGGCTCCTATATTAAAATTATTAGATATGAATAACACACATAACCATACATATATTTTCATGTGCACTATATTTAGTTTGACTTGTTCTATTTTGACATTTTGAATAAGCAACATCCAATTCATTTATGTGTACAACGACACCACATATTTTTATTCACCTTCAATGTACACGTGTACACAACTAGGAGTGTACAAAATCAAACACTACACAGAACAATAATCTTTCTACAAGAAAATAGGCTCTCATATTAAAATTATTAGATATGAATAACACACATAACCATACATATATTTTCATGTACACTATAATTAGATTGACTTGTTATATTTTGACATTTTGAATAAGTAAAATCCAATTCATCTATGTGTACAATGACACCACATATTTTTATTCACCTTCGATGTACACGTGTACACTACTAGGGGTGTACAAAATTAAAGTGTACACAGAACAATAATATTTCTACAAGAAAACATGCTCCTATATTAAAATTATTAGATATAAATAACACACATAACCATACATATATTTTCATGTACATTATATTTTGGTTTTACTTGTTCTATTTTGACATTTTGAATAAGTAACATCCAATTCATCTATGTGTACAACGACACTACATATTTTTATTCACCTTCGAAGTACACGTGTACACGACTAGGGGTGTACAAAATTAAACTGTACACAGAACAATAATCTTTCTATATGGAAACAGACTCCCATATTAAAATTATTAACACACATAACTATACATATATTTTCATGTACACTATATTTAGTTTGACTTGTTCTATTTTGACATTTTGAATAAGAAACATCCAATTCATCTATGTGTACAACGAAACCACATATTTTTATTCACTTTCGATATACACGTGTACACGACTAGGGGTGTACAAAATCAAACTCTACACAGAACAATAATCTTTCTACAAGGAAACATGCTCCCATATTAAAATTATTTGATATGAATAACATACATAAACATACATACATTTTCATGTACACTATATTTAGTTTGACTTGTTCTATTTTGGCATTTTGAATAAGCAACATCCAGTTCATCTATGTGTACAACGACACCACATATTTTTATTCACCTTTGATTTACACGTGTACACGACTAGCGGTTGTGTATTGAAAGCTAGGTTTGTAAGGTTTCCATTCTATTTATATATCACTCGATTAAAAAACTTTGTGCACATATGATTAGTAATCTATTAAACACATCTAAATTGCATATACACATATTTTTATTATCTATGAGGGGTAACATGTACAAGATACATAATATATTTTATCAGACATTTACTTGTACACATATTTTTGACATACATAGCAGATGTTCAATATACATATTATATTTTATCTTAGTGATATATTGCATATCTTCATCATAATCTTATATGTCCACAAAACAAAGTCGTGCACATCTGTAAGTATAATGTATATGGATGTATCTTGTAAAGTTGTATACATTCGCTAGTGTACATGTTTACATTAAAGTTTGGTGGCGTACATGTGTACATCATTCAATATCGTATGAACTATGAACAAATAAAAATGGGGAAACCTCACTTTTGTTACAAGGAAGTTACATGTATCAACCATAAACACCTATACCATGCAAACAACTATTATGAACATGGCTACGAATATTACAAATGGAAGGTCCATTAATATTATTAAGTAAGCATTTAGCTATTAAGCATCACGATATCTCTTGTTTTAATGGTTTTTAAAATTTTTTTTATTTAGTTCCTTTATATTATTGAAGTGAGCATTTAAGTATTAATATTGCATTGCATACATAATTGTATAAAGCAGAGTCTGAAATGCATAAGTGAAATGTTTTGGAAAAAATCATAGAAACATCTATATATATATATATATATATATATATATATATATATATATATGCAAATATTTGGGACAAAGTCGTGATTAATCAAAAGTCAAAGGACCAAATCGTAATAAAAATAAAATTGGACCAATTCAGTTCAACGATTGCGACTTGAATAGAGATTGACCGGGAATGAGCTCCGGTGTGGTTCACTGGCGGTCGCCGAAGAGGAGAAGAGCACAGCGGCGGAAAAGATGACTTGGACAACGCTCTCACAGTGGCTTAAAGATTCGATTACTGTGGATATGAGCTTCATGGTGATTTCAATTGTGGAGGAGGATACCTTCTGCTTGGAGGTTTCAAGTGAGTTGAGAGAATAAAATAATGAGATCAATGGAAATGTGGCGGATAATAAACGTTGTAAAGCAATAGACAGACTGGAGATGAGCTGACGATGACGACTAGAGTTGCAGAGCATGATGGAGACGAGCACAAGGCAAGAGGCATGGCGTGACGGAGAAGCACATAACCGGAAAAGAACACCGCTGCTCATGTTTGTGGCACATATCATACCGTGACGGGAGTTCAAAAAATCAATATTGAACATATAGTTCATCACCGCAGTTATATATTTTTAGATCTAATTATTAAAGAATAAGATATGAGAAAGAGGAAATTGAGATTGGTTAAGATTTAACTAGGGAATAGTTAAATTAGTTAAGAATAAAAAAAGATGTGAGAGTAAAGTGTTCTAGTATAACAAAATGACTTATTATGTTAATAAAAAGATAAAACTGTCTCTGAGTGTAATATTTTCTTGAGTTGATTACTTAATTTTTACTGCCTTATTACTACGGTTCAGGATTTGAGTTTGGGTTTTACTTCAGTTTCCTTAACTTTTCTTACAAAATTAGTTTCACAGTCAATGAGAAGGTTTGCGACTTCCTGAAGGACCAACGAGATGTTTACAATGTCTGAGAAGCGCGGAGTGGTGATTGTGGATGATATGCGTGATGTTTGGACCTATCACAAGTAGAGTAACCTAGTGGATATTAACTAGTCCAATTATTTTAGAATCAATGACCAACAAGATGAGTTAGAACCTTAACTCAGAGGATAAAGACGGAAGAGAGTGAAAAATCAGTTAGAATCATATATATAGGCTGTGAGTTGGCTGCTACAATAAATAGATTTAAAGGTTTCCGAAGAAGATTCTGTTGTTTCTGTCGTTTAAAAGAGTTACTTTAGATAGTAACTTCATTTGTAGGCTTTAAGTTTCTTTATATGGGCAAAGTCATGTTCTATTCTTTAAAAATTCAATCTAAAACTACTAACAAAATCATTCTATATGCATCGGAGGTTTATAATTAGAGAAATTCCCTAGTAAATTTAAAAAAAAAAATTGTCACAAATATAGATCTTGCAAACAAAAATAATGAAAATAAATTTAAATGGACAATAAAAAATAAGTAAATATTCATTTTTTAACCTTTGGATTAACTAATCATAGACTTTTTTGTTTAAAGTTAGGGAATTGGGTTTTGGAAAATGATTTGCAAATTTTTAAAAAAAAATTAAAAAAAAAATTAAAAATTTTCAAAATAAAAAATGTTATTTTGGTCATTTTAGTTTTTAAGATCTATTTTTGTGATAAAAACTTAAAAGTGGTATATTTGAGAGAATTTCTCTTATAATGAAGGATTATACAATTTTGGATTTTATAAAGCTATTTTGATGTTACACAACACTCTTTAAATCCTGTTGGTCACTAATATTTTCATTTAGTACCTTCCACCTTCAGTTTATCGTTTTTCACTTGTTCTGTGTAACTCATGAACCAAGATATATGTGTTCTATATGGATGTTTATGTTCGGCGAGATAATGTCAAACCTTGACACTGTGTTTATGAAACTTCCGTCTTAACAAAAAGAAAAGTCACTACTAAAATTGGCACTGTGTTTATGAATACACAATCAATGTGTTTGATAACTTTACCGGCTCATAACTCGTAACAATGATGTGTTTTATCATTAACTCTTATGTGTTGCTTGTAAAAATGTTCAAAAATATAAACTGTATAGCTTTGATACAAGTGTAGAGATCCCCGCGAAAATACATGAACACACAATTTACACACAAAAAAGAAAGAAAAACAAATTAAACCTCTTAAAATCTGTTTATTTCACCAATGCATAATGTATGGGCCAAATTCGCCGACGAGTATTATGCTTATGGAAGAGAACTTATGTTTTGGTAAGACCATGGACTATGACACGGAATGAGATATATATATATATATATATATATATATATATAAAGATTTAAGAAGCATTTCTCTATTCTTTTTAACATCGTGAGTCAGTGAGTATTTTTTTCCAGTAAAATCAATCGTGGGTAACAGATGTAACACGTGTAAAGAAGCACTTAACACGAATCCAAGATCAAAACGCCAGAAGAAGTAGGTACTCGCCACGTTGTTGGACAAGTGTCATCAACCCTTTCTCGTTTTCCACATACATAACAGAGCCGTCACCTCACAAATCCTTGAAGAAAACTAAACAGTGCTTTTCCTGTTGTTTATTTCATTACTGCGAGAGAGGAAGAGTCTACGTTATAAAACTATAAAACGTGATTTCGTAATAATCCGTTAGTTTTAAGTAAAATGGCTTTAGGGAGGAGAGTTATCGTGTCATTGGTACTTATGACGATTGTAACAATGTGCTTTGTCAAAGCCACCATCGCAGAAGAAGCGGCTAAGGATAAATCATGGACTGATTGGGCCAAGGAGAAGATCGGTTTAAAGCATGAAGAAAACATCCCGACCACTCACACCGTCACAACGGTCGAAGATAACGCTGATAAGGCCAAGGCTGCTAGGGACGCGGCCAAACGCAAGGCAGAGGAAGCCGTTGGAGCTACTTACGAGACAGCAAAATCGAAAGCAGGCGAGACTATTGGTTCCTTGAAAGACAAGGCAGCGCAGAGCTATGATTCAGCAGGTCAAGTTAAAGATGACTTGTCTCACAAGTCAAAACAAGTTAAGGAGGGTTTCTCGGGGGGTGATAGTGATGTGTCATGGACTGATTGGGCTAAAAAGAAAATCGGAATAAAAAACAGCGAAAACTACCCTAACATGGGTGACACGATGTCAGATAAGGCTAAAGAAGCAAAGGACGCAGCCACACTCAAAGCGAGAGACGCTAAGGAGAGGTTAGAAGAAACGGTTGAGGCGGCTAAGGAGAAGGCGAGCGATCTGACAAGTGCGGCTACGGAAAAAGCCGAGAAGTTGAAGGAAGAAGCGGAGAGAGAGAGTAAGAATGCGAAGGAGAAGAGTAAAGAACACTACGAGAATGCAAAGTCCAAAGCTGATGAGTCTTTGGAGTCTGCGAAAGATGAAGCGTCTCAGAGCTATGACTCAGCTGCTAAGCAATCAGAGCAAGCTAGAGATACCTTATCTCACAAGTCAAAACAAGTTAAGGATACTAGCTTGAACAACGATGATTCTGAGCTCTAGAATGTGGGGTGAAAGAACAATTCAGTAAGGAGTTTGAATAGTTTTTAAGATGGATAATATGGGTGGTGTTGCTTTTTCTTGTTCCTGATCTCTAAACATGTCTATCTTGTCTGAATCTCTCTTTTCATGTTTCTTTTTTTTCTCCTTTTTTTTTGGCTTTCGTAATGTATATGTTGATCTCTTATGGTATGCACCCATCTTAAGTTTTGAGTGAAGAGGCTGGTTCTCATTACGTGGCCTAATCGGTGAGTTTAACCGGCCTGAATCTTTTGAGATTAGAAGCATAATCAATCACTTGCGTGCGTTTAGAGCACCTTACCACAGGGCACGCGCTAATACAACTCGGTAGTTGTAGTAAACATATTGACTGCCAAACGTCGCCGAACTACATCGTTTGACTAGCATGTTGTTGTTTCACCACGTTCTAGAGCTAGCGTCATATGTGACACGATGGCTTTGCTTTCTTCTTTCTTGTTCCCAAGAGTTGGGTAAACCAACTGATTATTAAGTGTAACATATTACACAACATCTCATGTACTTTTGGATTGCTAATGCTTCGTGAATGATCTGTGATATCTAATGTGGTTAATGAAGTTGATATCTAGTTCTAGCGTTAATAAACCAGATGGGAAATAAATACGCGGATTTTCCTTCTATGTTCTCATTAATCATATGAGGTACAAAACAAAATAATGAACTTAAAAGAAATAAGTCAATTGATAATTCAATCATTTTGAAGAAAATTTCGAACTGATCATAATACTAAAATTATCCACTTTTGTAATAGTGCTCACATAATCATTTTAGAATCGTATCAAAAGACATGAATTTATAGTATTAACTAGCCGACCGACAGAAACCTACAGTTTAAATTACCGGTAATATAGGTGTTCCAAAAAAAAAAAATTACCGGTAATACCCTACAGTTTAAAATGGAAACTTCGACCCGATGGAGAAACCACTTCTTTTTTTTTTTTTTTTTTTTTTTTTTTTTTTTGAATAAGG